ACCTGATACACCGTAAGAAGAAACCTTATGGAGAAGATTAGCTTGCCAAACTTTTCAAAGGTTTTTGAAATGTCGAGAGCGATAGTTAAAAAATCAGTCTTTTTTTTTGTCCGGTCTATTAATTTAGGTGCATGGTAATAATTTAAAAATCAAAATAGCGCGTTAAGTATAGTGAAAATCACCGCCTAATGAGCTCAAGATTTCCTACTTCTGTTTTTAGAATTAACTTAGCTTTGCGTTATTTAGGGACGATCCCTAAACAGCATACGGTCGTTTAGATGTGCATTGTATTAGGGGAGTCCATAATCATCTTTTTTTAGATTTTTTTATAATTTAACCAATTTTTCTTAATTAGTTTTTCATGCTGATTCTGAAAATCATAATCATTTTTTTTATTTTAATTATTTAGCCTTATAAATTTTAATAAAAGTGAATATATTGACAAAAAAAGGCATTGTTAAAAATAGATGAAATTATTATTATCATTAAATATAAGAAAAGTAGAAAAGTATAAATATTTTTCTGTTTAAATTATCAATAATATATCTTCTGATTTATAAGTAACAAAAAAAATTAAGCATTATATATGAAAACAATTCATACAGTTTGTTATATACTATTGAAAATGGAAAATAACTATAAAAGCCATCATATGTGATAGAGATTGCTGCAGGAACTTTCCATGTAGAACATCTAGGTTTCCATGTTGAACATTTAGAACAACAATCATGTATTTAAACAGAATTGGCCTCCGCGACAATGACCTACATTGTATCCCTAAAATAAAGAACCTCATTTTTCGAACTTTTTTTTCATTTTAACATACCTTTATCTACTTTAATAATGTCTAGTTCACAGCTAAATGGGCTACCTTGTAACTTTAATCATACTAAAATAGAACTCATCTTGCACACCTAATGTAAAGTTTGCTGCTCTTCCATTGTTATCCAATTATTGTTTTTGTAGCTGGTTTCAATTTATTCCATAGTTTTAACTTTTTGGATAAATAATTGGACACTAATTTTCCGAAATATTTTTAAACTACACGAACCTTCATTTTTTATATGGTTTAAAATAATTAAGTATACATCTACTGTTAAAATTAAATGGATTTTTTCCAAAACTTTCCAACTACAACAACTTAATTAGAAAGTTAATACAAATCATATTCCATCATCAACCAAACACATTATACTTTTTTCTTTTTTGAAGTCCTGAGGCTAACTTTTTCCAAAATACTCTAGCAAGAAGAATACAATTTTTTTTTCTAGAATTTTTTTTTTTAACCAGCTATTCGCTGCGTTTTAGAGTAAAGTAGAAAATTTCAAAATTTAATCACCCAGTTTGTTTTTTTATAAAGCCTTTTAGGTAGCGGTATTCCTTTAGCCTGTTTATCTTTAGAGTTGTTAAACCTTTAGAATTTAACTGAACTTCTACTGACTGGCACTTTGAAAGAAGATTTATTCTTGACTTCATTAAAGAAAAGTGAAAAAAAAAACGAAATCTTGAATAGCCTTCTTGATAGCTTGAATAACGATTAAAAATAAATAAAAAAAAGGAAATTAAGATATCTGTTTTTTTTGATTACTTAAAACGTTTTGTTTAGAAAAGGACTTTAGATAAAACTTTTTTTATGAAGCAATCCGTCGTTTTACTTATTTAAAACGTTCTTTTTTGGAAAAAACTTCAGATTTTTATAAAACGCAATGATTAAAAATCAAATTTATCCAATCAAAATTTGAATAGCATAAACTTGAAAGAAAAGTTGCGTAACTTTATACGCAAAGAAACTTTTGCAAAGACTTTTATTTTTTACATCTTTAAATTTTTAAAATAGAAGTAGAAGGTCAACCATAAAAATTTAGCAAAAACTGAATTTTTTTTTGAACTTTTCTCAAAAAATTAATTTAGATTAGCTGGTTAAGGGGTCGTCCATAAATTACGTCACGCAATTTTTAACCAATTTTGACCTCCCCTCCCCCCACCTCCTCACAAAATTGTAATACTTAAGAATCAAGTTTTGTATAAGTCGTCACAAAATCACCAACCCCTCCCCCCCTCCCCTATAGCGTGACGTAATTTTTGGACGAGCCCTACAGAATTTTGGACCCCCTCCTAATTGTCCTTACTACAAATTTAAAAATGGTCACGGCGTTTAGATGCAAATAGTTTTTTTCTGTTTAGTAACAATATATTTAAAACTTAGTATTCATCTTTTGTATATTTTTAATAGAATAGAGTAATTATAAAGATAAACTGATTACAACTGATACTTAAAATATAAAAACAAGATAAAGATGTTTTAGTATATAAAAAACTGTAATTCTGTGCACCATTTAAACATTAGTAAATATTTGGCATGCTATATTTAATTCCCACCTAGGTATGGCTGCTAAATATGGGGGCAAAGCTCATCTTCTCAAATTAAAAATCATATAAAACTTCAAAATAAATCTATACAAATAGTTCATTTCCAGCCAAACAATTTTAATCTAGACTTATATTATTTTTTCAAATATTTTGAAGTTGGATAAACTCATCTTCTTATAAAACTGTGTTTTTGTATGGAATATCATTCATAGTACTATGCCTATTGCTTTCAACATCTATTTTAAATTCACAAGTGATATTCATAATTACAATCTTAGATCGATATCTTGTTATAATCTAGCTCTACCTTAAAAAAAAACTAGCAAATATGGTATTCAATCTATTAAATACCAATCAATTCACTCTTGGAACTCTTTGCCACTTTCAATAAAAATGAATATCCTTAACATTACTAGAAATACTTTTATTGCCACTATCAAAAAATTTATCCTTAATAAAAACACTCAATAAAATTCTAACACAACATTATCAACATCTTCAATTAATTCTGTCTATTTTTCTAAAATATAACAGCTTTTAGTTTTCCCTTATTTAAACCTATTCAGTTATCTCTTCTTCTACTCCTTACCCTTCTGTTCCATATATGGACATATTTGTATGAACCAGAGTGTGCATTGTGGGTATGTATGTGTGCATGTATAATGTGTTTATTTATTTATATGTGTTTTTCTACATATTTATATATTTGTGATTGTGTATATGTATGTATTGTGTATATGTATATTTTGGTATATGTATATATGTGTGTATGTATGTGTGTATGTATGTGTATTATACACATACGCATATACACTGTCAGTGTATATGCGTATGTTTATATGTGTATGTATGTGTGTATTTATTTGTGTATATGTATATATGTATGTGTGTATATATGTGTGTATATATATATAATGTATATGTGTGTTTGAGAGTGACTGAATCTATAAATGTAGATAAGCTTATATGGCATTATTTATAGCACTCCCCAAATGACCCCCCCTATGTCCTTATTGTTATTATTTAAGTATTATTATTATCTCTATAATTGGCACTATTATTATTATTATAACTACTGTTATTATTATTATTATTATTATTATTACTACTACTGTTATTATTACAATGATTATTACTGTATTGCTATTATTAATTTTATTATTATTATTATTAATTTACTTTTTAGTTTATATATTTTCTCAAATTTACGGTTGATATTTGTAGATTGTCACATTTTTGTCAGTTATATAACTGATTGTGACTGACCCTAGCTTTGTATTTATACTATTTTATGTGTAAAAATAAATAGTATAAATAGTATAAATACTTTGTATTTATACTATTTATACTATTTATTTTAAGTGAAATAAATCATTGATTGATTTATCTGCCAAAAACATGATATTTAAGTTAAATATCATTTTTTTTTGCAAATAAATGGTGCACAGAATCACAGTTTTTTTTTTATATACTAAACATTTTTATCTTGTTAAATTTTTAACTGATAAAATTAAATTTTAACTGCCAAAAAAATGATTTGTTTATATTTTAAAAAAATCTTTATCTAAAAATCTTACAATTAAATAATATTTACCTTTTAATTTAAAATAATCTTATTTTGTGTAACTTTTCTCAGATCTAAGTATTCAATTTTTTTTCTGAATAAAAATAGAGTTTACCTAACCCTACATTTGTATTAATTTATAGATATATGATGTATTTACATTGGTATATAAAGCTAAAATTATTATTTTTTAATAATATGTGAATGATTAAAATGCATGTAATAGACTAAAAAGTCAAGTAAACTCCAAGCATGTATTATGTTTTTTAAATGTTTGATTTTTATGCATTAAATTTATGTTATGCACACAAATTTAATTGTAATACAATAGAATTTGTGTGCATAATTTACATTGTCATACAATATGTGTGTAAGTCTATATATATATATATATATATATATATATATATATATATATATATATATATATATATATATATATATATATATATATATATATATATGGTTTATTAACGCCCTCTTTCAAACTACAGTTTATGGAAAAAACTTTCTGACTACCATGCAAAACTATGTATATATATATATATATATATATATATATATATATATATATATATATATATATATATATATATATATATATATATATATATATATATATATATATATATATATATATATATGTATATGTATATATGTATATATATATATATATATATATATGTATATATATATATATATGTATATATATATATATATATATATATATATATATATATATATATATATATCACTGATCTCAAAATATAACTGGATAGCGGATTCTATTGTTTTTTCCAAATAAAGTTGAAGCCAAAATTGGCCTCCCAAGATGGCGGCGATTTAAGTTCCTAGCGGTGAAACCAATATAGATTTTATATGGCTTTATCAAACTACGATAGAAAATAATTAAATAAGGCTAATAAATTTGTCAAAAATAAAAAAAAATAAAAATTTATAAATATTAAAGAAAAAAAAAAAGAAATTGTTTTTTGAATAATTCAATTTATTATTAAATGGCATTTGCATTTTTAGTTAAATTTTGTGTATAATTTATGTACCTTTTAGTTCTTGGTTACCCAATGCTGTATGCTAGAAGGTTAATAACATAACATGGTAAGCAGCTATCATCTCTACCTACTATTTTATATTTTATATTTTTTGTAGCAAGATTTTGTACAAATCCTGCATGAACTATTAACTGAATCACAGTATACAGGGGTATACAAACTCAGAGGTTCCTTCTAGAATTATATTATAATTCTATTATTGCATAAATTATTTGAATAAAACATTCTAAAGTGTCATTTATGCTGGTTAAAAAAAAAAAAAACAGGTCTGAATTATAGTTATTTATATCAACTTTTTTGAAAAAAAAAGAAAAAGTAAATAAGCATTTCTTGTAATTTAAAGGATAATCACTCAATAGAATTGAGGATGTATGTAACAAATTTTATATACATCCTCAAACATTTGTTTGAAAAAACAAATTTATTAAACTTTTAATATAGAAATATTCAAAACACCTCTTTGAAGTATCTCATTAACTAAAGTTATATATACTGTTTACCTGCTGTTAAGTATAATGGTTATATGTTATAGTTTATATAAAGGCTGACTTTTTTATATTATTAAACTGTATGTTGCAGTTAAATAATTATATAAATATGTCGTTAAGTTTATTCGCATAAAAGATTGATTACATCACATATTAAATTCACAAAACCTATTTGCAACAATGCTCTTTGTTTTCCATTTCTTGACATGGTATATAATAATATCATAAGTCTTAAAGAGATTAACTGTTACGCAAATGAATTTGTCTAGTCTAAAAACTGGTTTCATTGGCAATTAAAATCTCGACTGAGTAGAAAAAGAAGGTTTGCTATAAAATTATTTAACATATGAGAGCTCAGTCAAAACCATCTAACAAGTTCTTTATTTGCTGTGAGATCTGCAAGAATGTTTAACAACAATATCAATTGCCACCAGTTTACAGCCACATTAAACAACTCTTGAGTGAATTAGGGTTCAATTATCTAATGGAAACTGCAGCATCAAAGATAAAACTCACATTTCAAAAGTTTTAGACAATTCTTTTGCTGATGCCAGTACTAAAATATCTGACTAAAATTGAATTAACAAAAAAAATATGATTTGTTAAAGAGAAAACCAACTAATAGTGACCACGAATATGCAGATATTTCAAATGCAGCATTTTATCTAAATACAAAAAAAGCTTTGATCTCATATATTGCCAGATATATAGCTAAAATGGCATCAAAAAAGTATCTGCATTTTATTTATTTATTTATTTATATATATATATATATATATATATATATATATATATATATATATATATATATATATATATATATATATATATATATATATATATATATATATATATATATATATATATATATATATATATATATATATATATATATATATATGCTTAGTGGTAAAGTACATATAATTATAAATAAAAAAAATTCTAGAAGGAACCCCTGAGTTGTGTGTACTCACAGAGCTCAGTTAATAGTTCATGCAGCATTTGTAAATTTGTGATATCTATTTGAAAAACTAATTTATAATAGTTTATTTCAAAAAGATATTCAGCTGCCTACCATGCAGTTGTGTTATTAACCTTCTAGCACACGGCATTGGGTAGTTAAGAACTAAAAGGTACATAAATTTGTACAAAAAGCAATAACAAACAGTTAATTTATTGTAAAACTAAAATTAAAAGAAAGTAAATAAATGAAATATATATAAAAAATGATTAAAAATATTTCCGTTTTTCACATTTAAAATAATTATTAGAAAGTTGTTTGGAAATTGTTAAATTAGATTATAGAACCTAGTAGTTAACTACTAGGTTATAGGTATAATTCTTTACTAATGTTAAATAAACTAATTTTTAATTAATTTAACTAAAAATTTTTATCTTATTTAATCAAATTTAAAATAAAAAGAAAAAAGAAAAGATATTAGTAATATAAGTAACTTTGTAATCAACAAAATATTCCGCCATCTTGGGAGGCCAAAACTGGCTTCAAAAAACTTGCCGTATACGCTATCCAGTTATATTTTGAGATCAGTGATATATATATATATATATATATATATATATATATATATATATATATATATATATATATATATATATATATATATATATATATATATATATATATATATATATATATATATATATATATATTAGAGATGTGCCGGAACCAGTTTATGCCGAGTCTCCGATTCCGAGTACCCGGCTGAAAAAACTGGGTCCGAGTCTGGGTACTCGGCACCGAGTCCATTTTAAAAAGTTGGAATAAAATCTTGTGAAATCTCTAGCGCTGAACTATTCACACAAAATACGCTTTTTACGCTAACTAACCAAAAGTTATGTGGCGGAAGTACCATTTAGCAAAACCCCGCAATACAGGGTAAGGGGCCTGAGTTGTAGGGCCTAACTTTTTTCAAAAGTTGTGCAACAGTTTTTTAACTATATTTAGTTTAAAATTATTTTTCTTTCCTGTTGGAGCGGGCCTAAATAATATTTTGTTATAATTATTATCGAAATTAAAATATAAAAAATGTGTATAATATTTACCTTATATCTCTACTTTTATGATTTTTGCTCGATACGAATGAAAAGTGATATCAGCGTTCGAAAGCATTATAAGCGTTTCATTCAAAACTAAATTGCTAAAAATTATCTTGTGTTCTAACAGAATAAAAAGAAGCTATTCTAAAACTTTTTTTCCCATTCTTTTTATTCGTATTCTCGAATTATTTCATTTAGCGTTACTTCTTCCGTATAAATTTTTTTGCAAAAATGTATTAAAAAATATTTTAAGTGAGATTGTTTTAAGTTAATAGAACTTTGTAATTATCGACTACATAACATTTTTAGACTTATATCAAGAAGTTTAATGGTTAAAGTTTAAATTTAAGGGAAAATCAATTTGAAGATACTCGGTGCCGGGTACTGCAACAAAATGGCCGATACCGGGTACCCGGTAAAACAGCCGAATTGCTGGGTCCCCGGGTCCGAACCGGGTATATATGTATATATATATATATATATATATATACATTACCAGGGCCGTCCCGAGGAGGGAGGTGTCTAGCTCCCCTACAAATTTTATTAGTCGGCAAAATGGACAATGTAGTCAGCAAAATTGGATTTATAGTTGACAGTCGGCAAATGTCGGAAAACAAAGATTTTTTTTATATTTTATATTTTTTTCAGATAAGTTACTAGGCAAAAAAAAAAAATTTTGGCTTTAGTCGGCAAAAAACAAACAAATCGCCCCCCCCCCCCCCTCCACTTTAAAATCTCGTCGGGACGGCCCTGTATACTACAGTTTAAAAAATAGGCTGTACTGTTTACAATTCAATTTCATTCTTGAACGATTTTAATAACGAGTTAATTAAAATTTTAAATTTTGATTTTAAAATGAAAAATTAGTTTTTGAAAACTTAATTTTAATTGTTAATAGCAATGCAGCGTGATGCTCGTGGAAGACCAAGTGCTCCTACAAAGATAGTTGAAGAACTTTTTCCTATCGACGTAGTGATGCAAGAAAATTGGCGTTTGTTGGATTTGGGATTTAGCATTTTACAGCCAATGTCTGCTATACAGTGGTTAGCTCAACGCAGATTGATTAAAAACAGTGTATTTTGCAAAAATTGCAATATTCAGTTTGGTTTGAATACCTATAAAGATGCAAAAGATGGATACAGGTGGAATTGCAAGAAATGTTTTAAGCGGAAAAGTGTAAGAGATGATTCCTTTTTTAGCGAGAGTCGGTTGTCTCTACAAACATTAATAACTTACATATATTGTTGGAGTCCTAATATGCCAGTGAGCCAGATCCAACATGAAACCGGTATGAAAGATTCTCCCAATACATTTGCAGATTGGGCAAGCTTTTGCAGAGACGTTTGCGAAGTTGATTTAGAGACAAACCCTTTAGTCATTGGAGGAATCAACACTGACGGGACGCCGATTGTTGTCGAAATTGATCAAATAAAATTTTTTCATCGAAAACACCATCGTGGACAGTGGCGCCAAGGTCATTGGGTGTTAGGCGGTATTGAGAGAGTGTCTCAAAAGTGTTTTTTGGTTGAAGTTGCAGATCAAACTGCAGAAACTCTCCAAAATCTTATATTGAAGTTTATTTTGCCTGGAACGCATATTGTTTCAGATGGATGGGCATCTTATGCTGGAATAAAAAACCTACACCATGGGATTTATTCCTATGCAGTTGTCAACCAAGAAAAAAGTTTCGTTGAACCTCTTGATAACGAAACACACACTAAAAACATTGAAAATCTATGGCTACAGGTTAAACGAAAAATGCGCCATCAGTTTGGAACACGTGAAGATTTGTTCACATCCCATCTTCACGAGTTTCTGTGGCGTCAACGATATAAAGATGTTTCAATTTTTTCAGCATTTCTTTCTTGCGTGTCCCGTCAGTATCCATTGTAACTGATAAACAAAACGGCTGTTTTCATAGCCACATGTTTGAAAAACATTTTTATAGCCAAATATGTTTGAAAAACAAATCAGCAAGAACATTAGTTATTTTTCAGGAAAAGTCTTGTAATATTTACTTTTACAGTTGTACAGAGATTTGTACGAGCTGGTGTGTATCTATTAAATGCCGTTTTTGTGGCTACGGTGTTCTTTTTTTTCTTTTGTTAACTTGATGTTTATGATTTCCATAAATGCTTTCATACAGGACCACTCCAAGCTGGTTCGGAGCTCTGGGGCAAATTTAAATTACGAAGCTCTAAAGTTTAAATTTATCTATACAATCACATTACAATTTTTCTTCTACAATTTATGTATACAATCACATTTACTTTTCTTTTATACATAGTTATCTCACATATGCCAACATTGCTTGGGGAAGTACACACAAAACAAAGTTAATGTCCCTTTATCGACGACAAAAACATGCCTCAAGAATAATATATCATAAGAACAAACTGACCCACGCTACACCGCTATTTAAAAAAATGAAAGCGCTAAACATTTACCAAATTAATATCTATGCTAATATATTGTTCATGCTAAAATACAAATTAGGATTAGTTCCAAACCGGTTTACAGAAAATTTCTTTCAATCTAATATCAACAAATTTAACACAAGAGCAACTGGTAACTGGTAATTCTCAATTTTCTATTTCTTATCGCGGCCCTTATTTATAAAACAAATTAATTTCGAATTATACCTCAATTTCTCTTGCTGACAATATAACTTCTCTAAAGTCAAAACTAAAAAATCATGTTCTCAATACAGATAATTACTTAGAAATGTTTTAGTTCTAATAATAAATTAACATTTAAGCTCACATTCAAACAATCAGCAATCAACCAAAAATGAAAATGTATTTTTTTTTTTTAAATTAAAAAAAAGAGATAATATTATTATTATAAACCACAATACTAACACCACTCATAGAATAATAAAAAGAAAAAAAAAAAGTCTACATCAATAACATTTAAAACATTTGTTTTATGAGAACCATAATGTTTATGTGTACTTTACGCAATGCCCCAAGGTTCTCGATGATAAGACTAAACTCAGTCTTCTACAAGTTCCCTACAACAGTCAAAACCCTTATCAAGTCATAGCATATTTAATTTTTTGTATTGGAAGTATATTTTGTTTATGCTATCGCAGTGTAAAAAAAAATTTGTAATTAATATAGTTGTGAAAATTTAACGAAAAAAAAACAAAAAACAAAAAAACAATATGATTGTAGTGACTTTTTGATATATAGCAAGTATTTAAGATGGTCTCTAAATAATTGGAGTCTGGAAACAGATTGTCCTGTTGTCGGACCATCTCGTATTGCTTTGCTCCATAATTATTTAAATGATATTATATTAAGAAACAGAAAGCAAATTGCTTTATTATTTTTATTACTATTTATTTCAAAAAAATAAATCATTCCCATTGATTTCTACGAAATCGATTTTTAGTCAGCTTGGTCAATTTTAAAAATGTCGTCAATTTTAGTCGACAGTCGAATTATTTAATAGTCGTAACAACACAACTAATTATCTCTTATTTTTGTTAATTTATTGATTTAACAAAAAGTAACTTAATTCTGATTATGTGGTTAAAAAAATATATCTAACAAAATTTTTCAAAGAAAGTAAAAAATTAATCGTCCCTTTAGTTAACGCCCCTAGGCAGTTGCCTACATTTGCCATATGACAGATGCGCCTATATATATATATATATATATATATATATATATATATATATATATATATATATATATATATATATATATATATATATATATATATATATATATATACATAAATATACATATATATATATATATATATATATATATATATATATATATATATATATATATATATATATATATATATATATATATATATATATATATATATATAAATATATATATATATATATATATATATATATATATATATATATATATATATATATATATATATATATATATTAGGGTGGCTTGAATTTTTTTATCTTTCCTGTACATGAACAAAAAGTTGTCTTGGCATCAGTACAGTATGAAAATAATATTTAACGTTTAGGGGTCCCACCTTTTGATTAAATTCTTACCTTATTTGATGTATTTTAACCATTTCCTTGGTACAATCTAAATACGTACCAACTATAAATCATTGACTAAAATGCATTGGCAAATGGTTTAGCACCTAACTACAAGTGCTAAAAAAGAAATGGAATAAATTTTATAACGTTATTTACATGTGACGTCACCAACATTAGCAACAAACCATGTGCTGGATTTTTTAGAAACAAGCAAAATATCTAATATATTATTTTGTAATTTTATTTTCATCTTTGCAATAATAGATCTATAGTAAAATTCAAGTAGGTTAATATAGATGTATATTACAGTAGGCTATAGTTTAGACTGTATAAAGATCACTTCATTTAACATGTAGGCCTATTTATGAGAGGGCTAAACATATTATAGTTTGTGTAAATATTGGAATATTTATTGACTAAATTCTTATGAAAAATTGTTTTAACAGCTTTTATTTATTGTAAACATAACTTGTTGTAGTTTTTTTTATTATTTTAGACAAATTATATTAAATATGGATAGTATGTGTACACGAAGTGCAACTAAACATCCATTGTTTGGGCAGTTAGTTGATCTTCCTGAAAATCAAATCCCATCATATGAAGACGTTATTAAGGCGTTCTATTATAATCAGAAAACAGTATTTGAAAATAGCTTGCAAGAAAGATATTCAATTTTAGCAGACAGAGGGAAATGTGTTTATTCAAAAGTAAGTATTCCCACAATAGAAGTGAATATCACAATCATTAGGATTAGAAGACTTATGGATAAAGTACATACACTTAAAAAATATTCCGATGCAAAAAGAATATCAGATACGTTCACTGAGAAGATGAATTCTTTTAAGCAGTTATTTGACATTTGTACCTGCAAATGCTTTGATTTGGGCATTAGAGATAAGAACTTATGCACGTGCCCACTGCCAAATAAAATTTCCTTGATAGAGTGGGATTTCTGGGTTGAACAGAAAACTGTTAGAAATATGATAATTGGAGTAGACAAAGAAACGACAGCAACACTGGAAAAGAGACAAAAACGCAAATTTATGAAATCAGTGTGTAATGAAGCACAGTCAAAAGAGGTTGAATATGAAACTGAGGAAGATATTGATGAGGATGAGCCTAACACGTCTGAAAGTAATTATACATCAGAGGAAGAGACAGTATTAGTGCAGAACAGAAACAAGTACAAGGAATTATGTAAAGCAGTTATTACATGCAAAATTAGCAACAGAGATACATGTCTTATTGTTAATGCTGTTTTAAAAGACCTCAGTATGTTGTTTTCAGCAACAATTCTTGATCCTTCAAAGCTACGTTGACAAAAGAATTTCTGGAGCGATATTCTGGTTGAAGAATATATGCAGAGCAATAAGGAATTGTGCCGTATAGGCTTTGATGGAAAACAATACGTTACATTAGTTGAGAGTTTTGGTTGTAGAAGAAGTAAAAAAGAAGAACACTACAGTATTGTCTCGTATCCAGGCAACATATACATCGATCATGTAGTTCCTAAAAGTAGTAAAGTTGCTGATATAACAAAGGAGTTAATGTCAGTTATTATAGAGACAGACTCCGTTGAAAGCATTCAAGGTGTTGTGTGTGATGGCACAAATAATAATACAGGTAAAAGCAATGGAATCATAAGAAAATTGGAGGAGAACTTAGGTAGACCATTACAGTGGTTGGTATGCCTTCTACACTGTAACGAGCTGCCATTTAGAAGGTTTTTGGCAGGCGTTGATTTTGCTCGAACTACAGGACGTTTATTGTAATTTATTTGTAAATATCTATTATTTGTAAATGTCAACTACATCGACAGGTACAATTAGCTCAGCTCTAGAATAGGATCCGAATGAATTGCCTATCGTTAATTATTTGCCAATTACTGGTAAGGTAACTGATTGTGATGAAGCTGTCAAGAAGGATCTTAGCACAGACCAACTTTACTTTTTGAAAGCATGTCTAGCAGTACAGTGTTGACGTCAGGCTTCTACAGATATTGAGTTTCAAGCAAAATGAAATGTCTGTTTTTTTTACAAAATACAAATATATTTACGACATCACTTAAAAGAAGATATATGTTTTAAACTGGAATTGTAGGTTTATATATTAGGAATCCATGCGGGAATTTTCAAATCATATGATTTATCATGGATGAAGGTTACCTAAGAGTTTGTAAGTTGGTTATTTTTTCAATCAAAAAGATGACTCAGAAACCATTATGGATTTTTAAAAAATATTATTGTCGGTGTTATGTTATTAATTGACAAGTAAGAATTTAAATATTGTTATTATATCATAGGTTTAGTAGGGCAGAAAGTGTAATTTTTTTTAATAAATCATAAGTTAAACTTTTTTAAATCTGGAAAATTTTTGTTCAAGGTAAAGTATTAAAAAACATTAGTTATTATTTATTTCAAATTACTTTTGCATAACATTTTTGTCAATATTTAATGACAATTTAGCACAATTTAGTGACAACTTTTTGATTCAAAAAAAGTTTAAATTATTGTATACTTAGTTTTTAAATATTGTATATTTAATAATTATTAATAATAATAATAATATAAATTTAACATATTTAATAAATATTTTATATTTTTTAAATTCATTTAGTTACCCAACTTTTAAACAATAATAAATCTAGGTTATCTTTCTTTGCAAAGAAAGATACCCAAGAAATATAAATAACTTATATTCTGGGTAGCATGGTTAAAGTAAAATTTACTTACAGTCTATTTTTACTTTACTCTTACTCATGAATCATATATGCTTTTATACTCATATATTATATATACTCTGAATCATATATGACATTTACTTATATCTTCTATATAATATTGCCAAACTTAATAGTAGTGTCCCTTGGAGCGTATTTGACACGAAACCCTTGGCAGCCATTGCAACCGAGGTATTGGCAAGAAAGAGTCGCAGCACTATAAGAATACGTGAACGAATATCTAACGTACGTAAACTTTAAACTAAGTAAGGTTAAAGCAAATGTTAAAACATACTGAAACATTTATTATGTTTTACAGTTTGATTTTTACTTGA